GAAGCAAGGAAGCAAGGAAGCAAGGAAGCAAGGAAGCAAGGAAGCAAGGAAGCAATGAGTGCCGACAAGTTTGTATCAATAATTTTTTTTCTTATTTTATTCAACAGTGCCACATCCATTATGCTGGTAACGGAATAGAATGCGGTCATGACAGAGATCGCGATGGCATCCCAAACACCGCTCTGAATTGCACGGGAGACGTTTGTCGAGCTGTAAGTCATTTGTTGCATTTAGTAATAAGATTCATGCTTCTTGACTTAGAAATTATACGATGGAGTTGTGACGATGATGATGATGATGTATATGTGATGATGATAATAATTTTGATTATGCTGGTGGTGGTCATGATAATTATGGTGATAATGATGATAGTGATAGTGATGGTGATGATGATGATGATAATAATTATGATTATGCTGGTGGTAGTCATAATGAGTATGGTGATAATGATGGTAATGGTGATGATGACGATGACGATGACGATGTTGAATGAAAATGACGACAATGTTGTTGAAGTTGTTTTTACTATTTCTGTTGTTAACCTGGTTCTTTCCATGTACCCCATTCCAGGACAATTGTCCAATGATTTCAAACAGAGATCAAAGTGATATCGACAATGATGGCAGAGGAGATGAATGTGATGATGATATGGACGGTGATGGTGTCAGAAACAGCTTAGTAAGTTTAATCTAATGAGAATTACCATTCCAGGCTGGACAATAGAAAGCCTAAAAGGTTTTATAAACACTTGATAAGGCAGCTCAAAAGTCAAATTGGAATTCAATACTCGGAAATAACGGAGAACCATTAGAAGCGAAGGAGAGATTCGCAAGAGAACAAGCAATTAAATAAAAAATAAATAAATAATAAATAAAATAAATAGCTTCATTTAAGTGTCGATGTATTTAGTTTATGCAACTAATTGGGGACACTGAAATTAAACTGAGATGAAGAAATAATCAAAGAAACATCAAGCAATTGTAATCACATGCGACACCTAGTTTGGGAATCGAACCCAGGTCGCATTGGTGAGAGGAAGCGCATAGACAGCGCACAACACCCGCGCTTTCCAAGGTCATCACTATAAAAAATTGAGTCGCGTCTTCAATAGCGCGACCTTGTTTGATGAGTATTTCTGTGTCTCACTAATCTATGTCATTTTAATATTTTTTTTCCCAAACAAAGGATAACTGCCTACGTATTCCAAATCCTACTCAATTGAATAGCGATGGTGATGTGTTGGGCGACGCCTGTGACAACTGTCGTTTCCATAGCAACTCCTTACAAAGCGATCTGGATGACGATGGTGAAGGAGATGTATGCGATAAAGATATGGACGGTGATGGTAAGTATAGGAACCGTTGCACATTTATCGTGTCATTTCTTTTCTTTACTGGTTCATGATATTCATAAGTGTAGCTTGATTACGAGCATTCCACTCCGAATCCAAACCTTTTCCTTTATCATTATTTCTTTCTTTCTTTTATGGTGACACTTATTTCGAACGTAACTCAACAAGAATATATTATTTCACAAAAAATACTATTGCATAATCATGTAGCGCGCATTCATGTATCTTCGTGTCAAAGTACTTTCATTGGTACCAATTAATTGATAAACAATTACTGGAGAAGTCTATTTAAATTYTTGTGATTTGTCAGTTGCGAGGAATTGTTCAGTGACCTCCGTTCAGGAATTAAGAAATCGTGCTGTTTTCCCAAAAGCTGAGGCCCCGTCCACACGTATCCGGAAATTTTTGTATCCGCAAATTTTTTTTTTTGCGGATACGAAAATGTTTGCGTCCATACGCAGCGTATTCGAATCGTTTTCACCGTCCACACGTATCCGTTTTCGTAAAATTTGCGGATACGGACACAAAAATTTGCGGGCACGTGTGGACGCAACCCGTTTCCGTAAAGATAAATTTGCGGATACAAAAATTTCCGGATACGTGTGGACGGGGCCTGAGTTCAAGCTGTCATTATTTTATAATTCCCTTACAGTCGGGTTTTAGCCTTTTCGATGTTTTTTCTTGCAAAATTATCTCGATTTCCTCTTCCAAAATAATGTAACCATCATTTATTTTTATAAAGCAGCAGTTGCTAAAGCGCATGCTTAAACCATCGTAAAACGGGAGTTTTCTGCAATGCGTAGTCTTAAACGTGATCGCAGTATTTGGAATTGTGCTAACCAATCAATATTCAGATTTTCTTTCAGTCGAATTATAGATCACAATATATCTATAGATTTACATATACTCAATTGTTTGCAGGTGTCTTCAACAGACAAGACAACTGTCCTAAAGTCTACAATCCTCGCCAGGAAGATGCAGATAGAGACGAGATTGGCGACAAGTGTGATAACTGCCCTAAAATCAAAAATAAATCACAGGTTGGTATTTAACCCTTATTTATGTCTCACCAAAGCCACTTAGAGGCTTGTTGTCCCTGAGAAAAACTTCAAACTATTTTTACTAGGTTGCCTGTGGCAGCCCAGTCGTAAAATAACACGTTCTTATCATATGACCCGTATCTGCCCGGGCGCGCGCTCTTAAAAAAAACCTTCGGGAAAATGGCGTGAGCAGGGCCGTACGGGTTTAAGCGAGCAGGGCCGTACGCATTCGTATGCTCGAAACCTGCGACCGTATTTTCTTTCTTTTATTTTATTATTTTTCATTTCGTGAGGGTCATATGATAAAATGCTTATTGACTGAGTTAGGTCGGGTCGTACGGGAAAATATTTGGCCCTCGCACTCAGTCAATAAGTACATAGTCTCGCTTCGGTGCGTTTTCTGTTTTTGTTTTTTTTTTGCGCGTTACTACAGAGTTTAAGAATCATGTTCACGCAAACGTATAGCGCCAGTTGCAAAGTGAAAAATTCTTTAAGCTTAATGGAAAAGAATTTAAAAAATCTTTAAGTGGATGGTAGATGAGCAAAAGAATATTTGTCTTTGGTGAGAAGGTTTGCAAGAGGTAAAGTGAAATACAGGAAAACCATGAAAACGCGGTCATGTTTGCCGTTTGCCGGAAGAAAAAACGGGAATCTTAATATCCGTATTAACTTCCATGAGTGTGCTAATTTACACGATTCTTGTATTGCCATTTCTAGCGTGATATAGACGGAGATTCCCTTGGTAATGAATGTGACCAAAACATCGACAAAGACCAAGACGGCGTGGATGATTCTATCGATAACTGTCTTGGAATACCTAACACAGACCAAGTTGATAACGATGGTGATGGCAAAGGTAATGCGCACACATTGCACCAAAACGTAAATTCCAAAACCTGATAACATATTAAACTTATTAAGAAACTCTGAACTTATCTTAGGCTTTTCGAGTGCTCCTCAGGTACTACAGTGACGCAAATACAGGTCTTTTACATGGTTGCCACTCCAGCGCCTGCGCGTCTTAGATTAGTAATATTCAAGTGCCTAGGAGATTAGTCTAGCTACCAAAGCATGCGGGGTATTAATAGTCAAATGACACCGCTTACTTTACAGTCGCACGGTCATTACTGACATTTTTTTCCATTTCAAGGTGATGTTTGTGATGATGATGACGATAATGATGGAATTCCAGATATCAATGACAACTGTCCTCTAGTGCCAAACACAATGCAACGTGATCTCAACGGTATGACACCTTGGAACGCCGTAATGTTGCTGCTCTGATGATATTGTTGCCGCTGATGTTATTGCTGCTTTTGTTGGTGTTGTTGTTGTTGCTGCTGCTGTTGATGATGATGATGATGATGATGATGATGATGATGTTCCTGCTGTTGTTATCCTTGCTGTTGTTGTCGAGTTGCTGTTGCTACTGTTGTTGCTGCTACTGTTACTGCTACCTGTTGTTGTTGTTGTTGCGGTTGGTTTTTGATTTTCTGTTGTTTTACTCTTTCTCTTATTCGTTAGTGTCATTTTCCTTAATCTTTTGTTCACATTCTTCCTTTCTCTTACTATATCTCTCTTCATCATTTCCAACGTTTTCCCTTAAGCCAAATTTATTCTAGGACTGACTGCTATTATGACTATTCATGTTGTTGCCTAGGTGATGGTCGTGGTGATACATGTCAAAATGACTATGACGGAGACAAGATCCCAGATGAGCTTGACGTCTGCCCATACAATAAACACGTGATTGCGACTGACTTTAAACGATTGCAAAAGATTTTGCTGAATCCATTTGAGTTGCCGAGGAGGGATCCTGCTTGGATCGTTGATAAGAAGGTAGAGCAAAATCTGATAAATGGATGGATGGGATAGGATGAGATGTGATAGATGGATGGATAAATTGAATAATAGATGGATGTATAGATGGTTGGAATTTAATGGAATGGAAAGGAATAGGGTGAGTTGTGTTTAGTTTGAAGAGATAAGTATAAGTTCTAGATATGCATAGGTAATGTCGATGCATGGATGGTAGGAAATGAGATAGATGCATGCTTAAATAAATTGTCCAAGCTTCTTGTCTCACGCTCTCTATTTTATATCTCAGGGAACTACGGTCAGGGAAATTATCAACAGCGACCCCGGAGTTGCGGTCGGTAAGTCATTCCCTCTTACTCGATAAACCTCAGGTAACTCTCCCATTCTTAAATACAAATGGACTACGTCGACGATAAAGCGACCATCTTGCCGAAACAAAACAAAGATGAAGGAAAATATATATAGTTTAGCGTGTTTGTCTTTCTTTTGTGGGTAAAGGGGATCTATGTGGCATAGACACTAGAGAAAAACGTTTGCGTATGCGTGCATTTCAGCACGTTTTCTAAGGATTTAGAGGTGTTTGAGTGAGAAAATAAATGTTTGTTTTCTCCGAGTATACAAAAAGGTTCGCGAGTAGCAGCAGTAGGGGGGACTCGCGGTCAATGTCAAAGATTTACGGGTTTTACAGGCGGTTTAAGGAAGGCGCCGGCAGCGGGAAT